ACAAAGAATAACACGGTGTATAAAACATGGCGTTTTTTTTATTGCTTAGATAGTTGTACTAGCTCACAGCCCACCTGGTGTTAAGTGGTTACCGGAGCCCATAGACATCTACAGCGTAAATCCCGCCATCCACCTTGAGATGTGAGTTCTAAGGTCTCACTTTTAACAGTACAACGGCTGCCCCGCTCTTCAAACCGAAGCGCATTACTGCTTCACGGCTGAAATAGGCAGGGTGGTGGTACCTACTCGTTCGGACCCACAAGACGTCCTACCACCAGTAAAAAGTGATAACGTGGTTAACGATGGTAGGGCGCCTTGTGAGTCCACCCAGAAAGGGACGGCCACACTGCCTGTTTCTGAAGCCAATCAGTCATTCGAACCGGGTCGAAGGGAGGAACAACCACCATATAATAATAGATTTGTATCCCTTGTCTGATGCGGCATCCACATTGCGACGCCCATGGGTTCCGATAATCAATTCCTTGAAGTGGGCAGTGGGTTCGGCCCCCGTCCATGCAAAAGACATATAATGCGCGAATTGCTAGATGTGAGTCGCAATTTTATCCACATAAATATATCGTTCTTCTCGTGTTCCACCCGTACGTTCATTCCTCCCCTATCGAAGGTATGCAAAGTGATTTTACTTACTTACCTCTCGTCCCTTGAAAGGGCCTCAGAAATCCAATCGAATGTCGTTCACTGATTTCTGCCCTTGGCTTCGTTTCGCTTGTTTTATATTTAAATATTTGTTTGTGTGTTTTTAAAGTTGGATATTACATCGTAGTGTCGCCGGTGGTCTTGTCGAAAATGACTTCGTTCGCCATCTTTGATCTTATATCAGGCGAACGTAGTACGCGTCATGTTAGCCAGTATTTCTCTTATTTATAAAAAATGTATCATTGTGTGTCGAAGTTATTGTTACTTATTGTTGGCGGAAGATTTCGGTGTTCCCACGACAGATGGCGCCACAACCAATCTATTTGTTATAAAATTACGGAATAGTTATACGGAATACAAACTGACATTTTCACGATGTTTTCCGAGCGCTATGACATGTCCTTCTTCAAACGAGGCTTATGGAGAGTATTAAGCGGTAGGCAGCGGCTTGGCTCTGCCCCTGGCATTGCTGAAGTCCATGGGCGACGGTAACCACTCACCATCAGGTGGGCCGTATGCCCGTCTGCCTACAAAGGCAATAAAAAAAAATAAAAAAAAAATTTCGGTACGTGACAACAATCACGTTGAGATGTCCATGGGCTTTAGCAACCGATTAAACAGCAGGTACGAAAGCTCATCATACCTATTGAATTGATAAAACATTGGCACATCTATCTCGTTACAACAGGCAAAACAATAAATTAAGCAAACAAACATAAATGAATATCCATTTTATATATTCGTGTGTTGATGTTGTTTCGAGGGGTGGTATAACACAATTTGTGCTTGAATGAGATGAATGAACTGAAATGTGCTAAAATAATATCGCTGTAAAGATTTTTATTGAAGGGATTTTTACCACAATGTTTTGGTTTTGATCAGTCCTCGATATTTAGGCGTGTTACAAGCTGCATAATCACGGCCAGACTGAAAGCTTCGGGTAGGATTTTTGACACAAACAAACCTGTCTACCCGGCATTTTTACTGGTGGTAGGACCTCTTGTGAGTCCGCATGGGTAGGTACCACCGCCCCGCCTATTTCTGCCTGAAGCAGTAATGCGTTTCGGTTTGAAGGGTGGGGCAGCCGTTGTGACTATACTGAGACCTTAAAACTATATCTCAAGGTGTGTGGCGCATTTACGTTGTGGATGTCTATGGGCTCCAGTAACCACTGAACACCAGGTGGGCTGTGAGCTCGTCCTCACATCTAACCAATAAAAAAAAAACTAGGTCCTTCTTGGTGATTACTATTGCAACTCGATGACTCGTCCCGAAATAACACACCTACAGTATCGACAGTTTGTCAGGGCAGTTTGAGACCACATTAAATTATTAAGTAGGTATTTAAATAATTCTTAATAAACCTAGTAACGGGCGCAACTCGCTTATTAGGCCCAGAATAATTGTAGTTTTTGTTTTTGGCTATTTCAATTGTTTGTTTGAACAGGCTCGGCATATAGTGGCGCCCAGGGGACAGACGGCTATGGCTGGTTAAACCCAAGTAATGAGGTCCTGACTCTGTGTTCAGCGATGCCAGATCTTTGCGTTTCGTAGTTCTCAATTGTCCCGATATATTGTTTAGTTGGGCTAGTGTAAGGCCCGCCACAGATGCGGTCTGTTCTGTAGATACCAAGGTCTGTGGATGAACGTAGGTAATATGCGATTATCTTGAAGGTGGCGAAGAGAAGATCTATGTCATATTTACTTACCATTATTCATGTATTATCTATCACATCCTTAAAATACGGTAATAAGGAATTGATTGACACTCGTCGTGACATTTTTAAGGACACGGTTACTAGTTTCTCACGTAGAAATCGTGGGAAGAGCCCGTTGAATAATACTGTATAGCTCAATTAAGATATATATTTTAGACCAGTACATTAAGTGGCTATAGCTAGAAGAAGCAGATGTAATAGTGAGCTGGTCAGTAAAACCACAGATCTGTTTAGGATCGTTCTGCATGGAGCACAATTTCAGATACACAATATTTAGAGATAGATCGGGGTAGGGATAGACAGGGGCTTGGTTATGCCCCCAGCAATGCTAACGTCCATGAAAGATGACCATCTGTGGTGACCACATGGACGTCAAGTTCACCTACCTACATATCAACAAAATGTGTCTCCTTATTGTCTGGTGGTATTGACAATGTTAATGGCGATGATGCGACAATTCGTTCAATTTACTAAATAGTTTTCAAATAGCTATCTTTCAAATTATTTCATAAATCAATATATTTGAAAACATTATTGAGAGTGGAATGGAGTTTGACAAAACAATGGAGCAGCAATATTCTGCGACTGCGCGCAGGGCCGGACTTGGCACGCTCTAATTAGTAGGAGGAGGTGGGATGGCAATTATGGATATAATTCTGTTATATTTTATAAATTCCACTTTCAATTCGGCTTCACTGATATTCCGCTGCCAGTAACTGTGTAACAACAATAAATATGTCGGAGAAGCCACAATTATTAACACCATCGTCAGACATCATAGTGACGAATAGGGTGATCGAGCTAAGAGAGATATTCAGTACACCAATCACGTTTGTTGTCTTAGAATAATTTAGAAATCTTCTCTTGACGTTAGCAAACGAAAACGAATGACAGTTCTTAGGACGGAGGCGACGCTCTTCAAGAAGGCTGGTCGGTAAGTGTGACGGCGTCCACGCGCTTCCATCGGCTAGGTTCTGTCGTAGCACGAAGCTAGCCGAGTTCCGACGATACCGCAATCGTGCTGCCATCTCTCGGAAATCGTGCTGAGTTTCGTTTAGCTACCAAGCTAATGACCGTCTCCGACGAATAAATACTTAACTGGGAACAGATCAAGAACGGTCATTCGGCCTCAAACTTGGATTCCCTGTGTTACGGGTACCAGAGACTGATATTACATACTTATATAAGTTTAAAGATGTAAATATATAAGTAATAAGCACCCAGACAAAGAGCAAGTAAACCCGTAGATCACACGAATATTTGCCCGATGTGGGAATGGAACCCACGACCCTCGACACAACAGTCAAGGGCGCTAAGTACTACACCACCGAGTCAGTCAAATAACACACGGGGAGGTCAGTTTGTTTTTATTTTATTGCTTAGACAGGTGAATCGGTTCACGGCTCACCTAGTGTTAAGTGGTACCGGAGTAAAGTAGTAAATGGCGCCACCCACCATGAGACCCATCATTTAGTGAGAACAAATCACTATTCAATAAACTAAACGATACGACAGAATTTTAAAATACGATCCCATAGGTATATTTAAAATAAAATTCACTTAAATTTAGTATATATTGTCAACGCTGCTAAAATTACGTTACATATGGCCGGCATTGTAAAACGACCAGTTCTTAAGTTCAAATCTATTAACTGAGACTCTCTCGATTTCACGTAAATATTGATCTTATATCTACAAGGCGCTGCGATGACTCCAATATTTTAATCGGCAAAAAAATCAGTTTTCTCTAACCCCCAAAACCATTTTTTTTTATTCCTTATTGTACACACAGTTAATCTATTACAGTAATTGCGATAAGATATAAAAAATGGCGAGCTTAACTCAACAATTGAGTTATCTACCAGCTAACCGTTCTTAAAAAAGGAAAGCTTTACATGAGTGGGTAGATGAGTACAATCTAATCAATTTACTTATTGATACAATACACAATAACAATAATAAAAATAAAAAACACCTTTATTACATTAGCCTGACTACGGCCCTCTGTTTTCGTTTCCCAGCATGGCGTCTCATTTCTGTACGAGCAGCGAGCTAGTGCTGGTTCTTTTAAGCTTTCCCACCTGAATTCTGGTCTAAATTAAAAAATATTTGTAGAAAAACCTGCAAGTTTCAGTCAACAAAAGAAATGCACGTAAATTTTGAAGCGTTAGCGCACATTGATTCCGCAGAAGCGATTTTATGAGTGTCCCCGAGGAAATGTAAATCTTGTGTGTGTGTGCTCAACGTTTTGCATAGAATGATATGGGAGTATTGGAGAGCTATTCAGACATTCGCTATATTTGAAAGTAACGAACGGTACGGTTAGTGAAATAAAATCCGCTTGACATTAGCAATTTGTAAATTAGAGGTGGAAGGTAGGTCGCATTGTCAGCGCTCACGGGTTCTATCTATAGGCTCATTGTGTATTTTTTTATTTATTGCTTAGATGGGTGGACGAGCTCAAGAGCCCACCTGGTGTTAAGAGGTTACTAGAACCCACCTTGAGATATAAGTTCTAAGGTCTCAGTTTAGTTACAACGGCAGCCCCACCCTTCAAACCGAAACGCATTACTGCTTCACGGCAGAAATAGGCAGGGTGGTGGTACCTCCCGGTCGCAGACGGGACCCACAGCACCCAATCTGCGTGCTGTGGGTCTCGTCTGCGGAGGAGATGCTGGACTCCTACCGGGCGCGTCCGTAGGTGGCGGATAACGGGATCCTCTGGGCGACATTCCCAGAGGTATCGTCCGATCTTTTTCGTTGCAAGGATTCTTAGGTTTTAGGTCCTAGGTATAGGGTTAGGTNCGACATTCCCAGAGGTATCGTCCGATCTTTTTCGTTGCAAGGATTCTTAGGTTTTAGGTCCTAGGTATAGGGTTAGGTTTAGATGTAGGTTAAGGTCCTAGGTTTAGGATTAGGTTAAGGCTTAAGTTAGGATAGTTTAGTTAGGCTTTGCAACGAAAGAGATCGGATGACGTGGACCAAACCAGCACTAGGAGGAGCGGAAGGACTGCGCCCTCCACACTCTTCATTAAGTGAAGAGTGCTCCTTCTGGAGGGCGCACCTTTCGAAGGCACCGGTTCGTCGGTCTGCCGTGAGCGGTGGCACTCTGTGCCCGTTGTCGTGGAAGTGAGCCAGCATTGCATCTTCTGCTGGCCGCTGGTTGCCATGTCCCCGGCTTCGGCTACAGGGGAACGCCCCCCAGATATGGGGGGTACCGGTTCGCCGGCGTGGCTTCGTGGTGCTCGCGATGTGTCGCTTCGTCGAGCGCTGGGCGGTGGCCTGTCGTGTTGCTTTGTGCACTCGGTGGACCACCGGCCAAGCCCGTAATCCTTTCAGTCATGTTTTGGGGACCGGGGGTCCTTGCCTTAATTGGCCGGGACCACGAGGAGACCACCTCTATAATAAATCTCTAATCCCAAGCGGCAGCGCACCGCGAGGGGATGAGTGGCTGCAGGGAGTGCAGTCGATAGTGCGACTTCCGTCGGAGTACCGGTCGACCCTCCGACGGGTTATGCTAGACTTACCCGTGTACAGGGGTCTCTGCGCGGGTGGACTCTATATTTCCCCCATACTCGTGGGATAAATTATGTATTGTTCTCCTAACCCAAAAAAAACTGATGAAAGTGTGGGCGGCAACACGGGTCGCGAAATATCTACGGCACCGTTTAAGGTGCCAACCGTGGCAGCGAAAGCTGTAAGATGCGAGAGCGCACTCTCGATGCGGTCGGGAAGTGCTGCTTCCGTGAGGAGTAGCGCCTCGAGTGACCGAGGGTCGCTCTCGGTAGATGAAATGAATAGTACGATTGTAGGAGGAAGAGCACTCCGCAAACGTAAAACGGCTCCGCGAGCGGCGGCTTCCCGCCCTTCTGACTCCTCGGAGGGGGAACCCGCACCGCCCGCGAAATTCCTCGCCTTAGAGGAAACCACGGCACCAGTCGGTGGTCGCCAGGTGGCAACGGACTCTGCCAGTGCAGAGGTCGAGCGACTCGTCCGCTCCCTCACCGAGGTGGGGTTCGAAGACTCCACAAAACTATTTAGGGTCGCCTCGGATATTGTATCCAGTGTAGCAGCCAAATCGGGCAGGGGTTTTAAGGGCATATACCTGCATGCTCTTAAGTGCTTGGCTGCCACCATTGAAGACTACCTAAACATAGTTACTCACAAGACGAGCGGCGAGAACGAGGAATGCGTGCGACTGCAGAGAGACCAGCTCAAGGCGCAAAACGCCGAGCTGCAAAATAATAACCTTGAGCTACGGGCGGAGATCGCGACCCTACACATGCGGGTGGACGAACTCATGGCGGAGATACGTAGCCCGGCTCCACCCGATGTCGAGGAGGTAGCTGAGCTAAAGCGGCGGATCGCCATTTTAGAGGCGCGCAGTTCACCAGTGGAGCGTGCAAGACCACTGCTCGCACACGAGCGGAGAGCTGGCACCCAGGTCAAGCCCCAGTCTGCCAAACAGAGTAAGCAGCCTGGCAAGCACGATCAAACCCAGCCGACCACCCTGGCCAAGCTTCATGTAGCTAAGCAAGCCAAGGCTCAGCAGCCGGTCCCTACCAATCCACAGCCTGCCGTAGCGCGTACTGGAAGGGACCGAACGAAGAAGAAAGGCGTGAATGCTGCCAAAGTGATGCAGTACCCTCAGCCCTGCCCGCTGCCTCCGGTCCCATCCAGCATGGACGTAGCGTGGACGACAGTGGTTAAGCGGGGACAAAGAAAGACGAAGGAAGGACAAAGAAGCCCTCGGTATGTCCAGGCAGTTGCCGCTCCCCGCGTAGAGGGTCCAGCGGTGAAGATACGGAAGAACCGTCGAGGAGGAAGATCCGGCAAGACACGCGCTCCGCGGTCGGCTGCAGTTGTTTTAGAATTGCTGCCGGCCGCTAAAGACAAGGGTATCACTTACGAAGAGGTGATGGCCCGGGCGCGTGGTGGCGTGGATATTGACGCCATCGGAGTGGAAGGCGGACTGAAGGTTCGACACACGGCTAACGGCGCTCGTTTGCTCGAATGTCCCGGTGCTGACTCAGGAGCGGTTGCGGACCGACTTATGGCCCGGCTCCGCGAGATCTTGCCTGATCCGGAGGTGGTGAGGATCGACAGGCCTGTCAGAATGGCGGAGATCAAGGTGACGGGCCTGGACGAGTGCGCCACGAAAGAGGAGGTGGCTGCCGCTATCGCATTGCAGGGGAACTGTGCTCTTGCAAACGTCAAGGTGGGGGAGCTTCGGAGTACATATTCCGGAACTCGCTCTGTATGGGCGCGGTGCCCCGTACAGACAGCCACCCTACTGGCTACGCCTGCACAGGGAAAGCCCGCTGACACGCCCGGTAGGCTACGCGTGGGGTGGGTCATTGCCCACGTGCAGTTGCAGGAAGCTCGACCATGGCGATGCCTTCGATGTTTCGGCACCGGGCACGGCCTCGCCAAGTGCTCGTCAGCTGTTGACCGCAGCGGACTATGTTTCCGGTGCGGCCAATCTGGGCACAAGGCCGCTTCCTGCACTGCCGCCATGCCACACTGTGTATTGTGCGACGCGGAGAAGCGGCGGGCCAACCACCGGGTTGGTGGCCCAGCATGTCATTTTACCTCTTTCTCATCCAAGAGGAGGAAGGGTAAAATAAATAAAAAGAAACCGGTTGCAAATAAAGCAGCTGGCGAGTCAGTTCCCGCCGCGGTCCTAGAGCCGGAGGGCGGGACGGACGAAGGAGCAATGGACGTGGCCCCTTAATAATGGGTCACGTTCATCGCTTCCTCCAGGCGAATTTGAACCACTCCGCCAGGGCGCAGGATCTCCTCGTCCACACCATGGTGGAGTGGTCAATCGATGTTGCCATAGCCGCGGAGCCGTACTTCGTCCCTGCGGACCAGGATGCCTGGATCGGGGACGTCGACGGCTCCGTGGCTATTACTATCAGGCAGGCCGCGGCGTTACCCCCCCTGGTGATGGTGGCCAGGGGATCCGGTTATGTCGCGGCCAGGGTCGACGAAACCGTCGTGATCGGGGTATACTTCTCTCCGAATAGACATCTCGCCGAGTTCGAGCAGTTCCTGGGCGGGCTTGAGGTGTTGGTTCACCGCCTCGGGTCCCGCCCGGTTATCTTAGCGGGAGACCTCAACGCAAAATGGGTGACTTGGGGTTCCCCCCGCTCGGACTCACGCGGCAGGATGCTCTCGGAGTGGGCGATCGCGGCTGGTCTCTGTCTTTTGAACAGAGGTTCGGTCGCGACTTGCGTGCGATGGAACGGCGAATCTCACGTGGACGTGACATTCGCATCTCCGTCCATCGCACGCCGCACCCGTGGCTGGCGCGTTCTTGAGGGGGCGGAGACGCTCTCGGACCATCGATACGTCCGATTTGAGCTCTCAGCCTCCTCTCGATCCGCGTCGGCTATGGACGCCCGCGGTGAGGAGGAGCTCCCGCGAAGTGCTCCTCGGTCATTCCCCAGGTGGGCACTGAAGCACCTGAATAAGGAGCTCCTGGTGGAGGCAGCCGCGGTGGCTGCGTGGTCACCCGTGCCTACTAGCCCCATGGACGTGGAGTCAGAGGCTGACTGGTTCCGGGGAACGATGGGCCGTATTTGTGACTCAGCGATGCCCCGGGTAGGCAGCAGTGCTCCGCGTGGCGGTGCGTACTGGTGGTCGCCCGAAATCGCGCAACTCCGCGAGGAGTGCGTGCGGGCGCGCCGCCGGAGCGCTCGCCATCGCCGCCGCCGCCTTCGCGATGAGGACTTCGCGGAGGTAGCGGACCGGTTGCGCGCCGACTGCCGCCAAAAGCAGGAAGCGTTGCGACCGGCCATCGGTGAGGCCAAATCTCAGGGCATGCAGACGCTCCTGGAGATGCTCGATCAGGATCCCTGGGGGCGCCCGTACCAAACGGTCCGCAAGAAATTGCGGCCGTGGGCGCTCCCAGTGACCGAGCGTCTCCAGCCTCAGCAGCTGCGGGAGATTGTCTCCGGGCTGTTCCCGCAGATGGAGAGGGACTTTGAGCCTCCCTCCATGGGCGCGCCGCCTCGCAGTGACGTGAGCGGTGTTGCCTCTGCTGAGGTGGTCCCTCCGAGCATTTTGGAGGAAGAGATTCATGCGGCCGTGTTGAGGATGCGGAGAAAAGACGCGGCCCCCGGCCCTGACGGTGTTCACGGCCGGGTCTGGGATTTGGCCTTCGGTGCCCTTGGGGACCGGCTCGTGCGGCTCTTTGAAGCCTGCTTCGAGTCGGGACGGTTTCCTAAGCAGTGGAAGACGGGCAGACTCGTCCTTCTGAGGAAGGAGGGGCGCCCCGCAGACTCACCTGCGGGGTACCGTCCCATCGTGTTGCTGGACGAGGCGGGAAAATTGTTGGAGCGAGTTATCGCCGCCCGCATCGTCCGGCACCTGACCGGGACGGGTCCCGATCTGTCGGAGGAACAGTATGGCTTCAGAGAGGGCCGCTCTACTATCGACGCGATTATGCGCGTGCGTGCCCTCTCTGACGAAGCTGTCGCCCGGGGTGGGGTGGCCTTGGCGGTGTCCCTGGATATCGCCAACGCTTTTAACACCTTGCCCTGGTCAGTGATCGCGGGGGCGCTCGAATATCATGGCGTCCCCGCGTACCTCCGCCGACTGATCGGGTCCTATCTCGAGGACAGATCGGTCGTGTGCACCGGACACGGTGGTGCGGTGCTCCGCTTTCCGGTCGAGCGCGGTGTTCCACAGGGGTCGGTCCTTGGCCCTCTCCTGTGGAATATCGGTTACGACTGGGCTCTGAGGAGCGCCCTGCACGGCCCTCTCCCGGGCCTAAGCGTTGTGTGTTACGCGGATGACACGTTGGTCGTGGCCCGGGGGAGGAACTACCAAGAGTCTGCTCGTCTTGCCTGCGCAGGGGTGGCATTCGTCGTCGGTAAGATCCGAAGGCTGGGCCTCGACGTGGCCCTCGAGAAATCCCAGGCCCTGCTGTTTCACAGGGCTGGGAGAGAGCCGCCACCCGGGGCCCACCTGGTGATTGGAGGCGTCCGCGTCGAGGTCGGGGTGACTGGGTTACGGTACCTCGGTCTCGAATTGGACGGTCGTTGGAACTTCCGCGCTCATTTCGAGAAGTTGGGCCCCCGACTGATGGCGACGGCTGGATCGCTGAGTCGGCTCTTGCCAAACGTCGGAGGGCCTGACACGGTGGTGCGCCGCCTCTACGTGGGGG